CTTTCCATAGAAAAATGTAAAATTGTCCACTGGGATCGTGCCCTCCCCCTCCCATCGCACTTCCTGCACTGCCACTAAGTCTAACTTATAATTCTCTAATTCCCTACTCACCGATTTAAGTGCCCCCGCCCTATAGAGGCTCCTAATGTTCCAAGTACCAAATCTCATTTCCTACAGGAACACAACCACGGTGTGTAATGAGAGTGCAGTCACTCTTGCTCTAGACAGGAAAGTAGTTTTGCACTGTGCCAGATTTGAACTTGATTTCTTTCTTTGTGCATATGAGAGGTTAATGGCTGTGTAGAAACGTGTTGAGCAGGAACACGTTTAAGGTTGAAAGCTGCTTCACACAGTTAAGCATTATGGTGGCTAGGGGACCTGGTTTTTGTATGCAGAATGGTGGGTTCACAAGTAAGTCAGTCTCTTGGACACATTGCAAACCCAGTTACATAGATTGCATCTTATGTTTGTTACTTTGTAGAATATGTATTGCAGTATGCATTGCTGCAAATTGGCTGGCAGCAGATTACTGTATTGTGAAAGTGTAAAGAATTTATGCATTGCACGTTCTCTTTGTATGTGTAGTACTGGTGGGAGCCAAAAGAGCCCTTGCAGATTGCATTCTGGAGTGTGACATCTGCATGCTTACTGCTGATTGTGTTAGTGGTGATCTGCTGTATCCTCTGGAGGAATGCAAAGAGGTAAGCCGAGGTAAATAAACCAACATTAGCAGAAACATGTTACAAATTATGTCATGGCAGCATTGATAGGTGAGTAGAGATGTAACGTGCACTAGCTGATCAGGACTAAGACCTGTTTACCTTCTCAAATATAATCTGAAAGACAGCTGGTATTTGCTTTCCAACACAGAAAAGAACTATTTTATTCAAAATTGTAGTTGAGTATATGAATTCCCACTGAAACTGTTTTTACAAGCATTCTTTCATTCATCATCATCATCTGCTGCTGCTGTATTAATCATTCTTATTAGATTATTCTCGTTCCAAGGTTTTTTTCCAGAATCAGTCTTTCCTTCATTTTCTTGGTCTTCCTCATTTTCTGCATTTTCATACACGGTAGAGTCCTGATTATCCAACCAAAATGGGGAAAAATGACAGTCAGGTAATCAAAAATGTTGAATAATACATAAGACTAATGAAAAGATGAGTGAGCTGGTCACTCACTACTCATAAATGCACACTTCAAGACCAAGAAACCTCTGAAAAGGAGGCGGCTAAAACCCACAACAGGGTTGTAGAGCCAAGAAACAACAACAACAACACTGAAAAGATGAGGGTAAATATCAACAGAGTTTATGATATTACATTATGATAAATATACATTACAGCATCAAATGAAAAATATCATTAACAAAAAATTGTTTTAACATAATGTAAATGGAATGTTGGATATCCAAAGGTCAGATAGTTTGGACTCAGCGATATAAAGTTTTCACTTTGCTTAAGTACTATGCTACTAAGCCATGTAGGGGGAGCGAAACTAGAGTTCCTTATTTTCTTAATCGCAGCACTCTATGGGGTGAGTTGTTAGCTTTGTGCTTTGGGTTGAGAGCCCTCACCCTGTACCTGTACAAAGTAGGTAGCCCCAGAGTTGACAAGAATGAAAATATGTTCTTGTTGGGAATTAAACCCTGGTCATACAGCCTAGTGTCAGTCACTTTATTGGCTGTTGACAACAATACATGTTAAAGGTATACTTTTTAATTATGTATAGTAGGGTTTGTTGGTTTTTAAAAACCGGATTTTTTGGATAAATTTGTAAAATTCGAAAACCGGGTTTTAAAATATAAAAAAACCGATTTTAGATACTAGAATTAATATGGTAAAATTAGTTAATTAATTAAAAACGTTAATATTTTGACTTGAAATCGCCTCGGGCACAAGCATATTGTAGTCAAACTATTTATTCTTCATGAGTCAGGCGAATGTTTGACATGCAAATCCACAAATGCATTCTATTTTTAATTTCGTGAAAAAGAGCAGTTTTGAAGAAATTATAGCAAAAATTGCTGCAGTGGATGGATTGTCCGTTAATAGCATTACAAGAAGCTCGTTCATACGAGAGTCTTTGCAACAACGGGGATATTCATGACCAAAAAACAACTCTCGAGTAATGGATCTCATTCATATGTTTTATGATAATGCCAAACGTGAAATTATAAATAAATTGGATTGTATTAAGAATA